ACCCCTGTAATTCATACACACATAATCCGGTCGACCGCCTCCGGGCTCCGAGACGTAGGGCTATTACTTCCTCCGAGAAGGGTCTGAACTCGTAAACCTCGTGTGGTTACAACTACTCCATAGCTAAGATCTTGCCTCTCCATACCTACCCCCCTACATTACTATCAGACTTAGAACCACGACACTTACTAGAGTGATTGGTCGAGGACTGGGTGTCCTTAGCTCAAGGGGAATAAGGCGAAGACATGGTCTTCTGAGTTAAATCTCAGCCTCCCTAACCACACATACAGTTGTCACAGCAACTGGAACTGGTCCAACAAATCATTGTCTTCAACAAGCCACTGGTTCTATCCTTCCCATCTCTTTATTTACAGTTGGTCCTTCTGAAGTCATTGCCTGTTTGCATTGTCCATTTGTCTTCACTGTGTGACTGTTTGTTCAAATTGGTTTCATACTATCTTTCATCTTGATCCGTACTGCCTAGCTGCTATTAGTCTTCGTGCTCTCACTTTATTGAATACTTGACTATGCCTTGTCTAGTGTAGTCTACCTTCCGCTGCATGGTTATAGGTTCATTTCTATCGTTTGTCTTCGAAACTCCCATGTTTTGAAGACTTTCATAAAAATCGCCTATTCACCCCCCCTCCAGTCGATAACTAGCACTTTCAAGAGACTGTTAGAGCATCTCCAATAGATGATGTAGATGTAAAAATAACTAACTTTTGCATCTCCGAGACCCCAAATCACATCTTCAACATAGATGTAGATGCAAAAATAATTACATCTCCGCCTCCCGGAGATGTAAAATACAATACCTCGAAATGCAAATATACATCTACACCTACAGGAGATGTAAAACAGGCACCCGCACGCCAACCGCCCAATCACCTTCATTTCGCTTTCGCCCGCCCGTTTGCCGCCTGCCTCGCCTCCGCCGCTGGCGATTTCTGCCCGAAAACACCGCCGCCCGTCCATCCATCCCTGCCACCAGCCGCGCAACCCTAGCTGCCGATGACTCGCCGATTTGAGTTCGTCCCGCCAATGACCGTCCACCTCCGTCGCAGTGATTTCTGCTCGGCCGCCGCCCATCCATCCATCCCCGACCTTGCCGCGACCCCGCGGCCTGTCCCCCTGCCAGCTGCGCCACCCTAATCGCTGACGACCCGCTGAATTTAGTCCGCCCCTCCAATGACCGCGCGGCAGATGCGGAGGTTCGTCGGAGCTCCGGCGGCCATAATGGCTGTAGCAGCTCAAGGCCGCCTTCCCTGGTAGCCGCTGCCCATCGCCGAAGCTAATAGGGCAGCCGCGCGACCACCACAACCCACCAAGCCGGCGGTTTCTTTGTCGTTGCGTCGTCGCAAGCGGAGTCCTTGGGCAACCGCGCGCCCGGCCAGAGGCTATTGAAGCAGCCGCTGCCCACCCCAGATGGGCTTTGAGCTGCCCATCAACGCTCTGACCCACCACCGGCCGGTCTCTTCCACGTCACACGCAACATGCTCAACAAAATTATTTGTTGAAGTAGAAGGTTTACATCACCAAATATACATCATCTATTGGAGTTGCACTTTTACAGTACACTCCCTCCGTGGCTCCGTCCCATAATGTAAGAGTTTTTGACACTAGTACATTATGGGACGGAGGGAATACACCATATGTTGGAGTTATCTTCTTTTTAAGATGTATAAAATGCACTTTTTAAAGATATATATTTTTACATCCCCTAATTTGCATCATGTATTGAACATGCTCTTAGTTTGCGATCTTGGGGCAGCCTTGCCTTTAGAGCATTTCCAGCCATGCCCCTAACAGACCCCCCCAGGTGACTTTTTCGGTGCCGACACCGAAAAAACGCCCAGTCACGCCCCCAGGATGCCAAAATCCGCCGGTTCGACCCGTTTTTGGGCCCGGCGATCGCAGGCCGAACCCGGCACACTGGGGGCGCTCGGGGGCTCCGGCGCTAGGGAAAAGCACGTTTGGCCCACACCGTCGGGTGAAAAGTCAAGTCTTTCTTCCAGATTCGCCTCCCACCCCCCGCGCGCTCGGCTGCCAACCGGCTGATCCCGGCGCCGCCCACCGCCCGCCATCGCTAGATAGTCCATCCCCGCCGGAAAAAGAGCAAAGGTTTCGCCGAGGCAGCCTCTCCACCACCGGCTGAGTGATTTTTCTGGCATTTCTGACCGTGGAGGGGTGGTGTAGCGGCGGGTGCGCGCCCACCGCGCCCGCAAGGTGTTCGGTGATTTGCCTGCCTCGGTAATGGACTCGGACGACGATGAAGGGCTCGCCGCGCTGCTGGAAGAGGAAGCCAAGGCCGACGTCCAGGAAGAGGAACATCTCATGGTCCTCGTCGCCCTCGCCGACCTGCTGGCGAGCAATGAAAGCAAAGAACCGGCATCATCTCGAGGGCTACTGCATGCTTTACTCCAACTACTTCGCCGACGCTCCATTGCACGACGACAAAACATTTCGGCGCTGTTATCAGATGAGCCGAAAGCTTTTCCTCAGGATTGTGAATTCCATCCGTGAGTTCGATAGCTACTTCAAGTGCAAGAAGGATTGCACCGGCAAACTTGGATTCACCTCAATCCAGAAGTGCACGACAGCGATGAGGATGCTTGCATATGGAGTTCCCGGTGATTCACTCGACGACTATGGGCACATGGTCGAGTCCACCACCATCGAGTGTTTTTACAAGTTTTGTCAGGCAGTGGTGGCAGTGTTTGGACCGCAATACTTGCGAACACCCAATGCGGAAGACACTGCTCAGATCCTAGCACAGAATGCAGCAAGAGGATTTCCTAAGATGCTTGGAAGCATCGACTGAATGCATTGAAAATGGAAGAACTGCCCATTTGCTTGACAGGGGATGTACAAAGGCGCCAAAGGCGGTTGCAATGTGGTACTTGAGGCGGTGACGACCTCTGGATTTGGCACTCCTTCTTTGGTATGCCAGGAACTCACAATGACATCAACGTGGTGCTCCCCTGTCTTTCCCAAGCTTGTTGAAGGTCATTCTCCTCCGGTGAACTTCGAGGTCAATGGGCGACACTACAACAAGGGGTACTACCTAGCTAATGGCATCTATCCGAGATGGTCTATATTTGTGAAGACTCTCAAACGATGTGCCAGGAGGCAAGAAGTCCCACCTTGCCAAGGTGCAGGAGGCTTGCAGGAAGGATGTCGAGTGGGCATTTGGTGTGCTCCAATCTCGATTTGCTACTGTCCGGTACCCTGCTCAGACCTGGTCGAAAGATCAAATAGGGGAGATCATGACTTGTTGTGTCATTTTGCACAACATGATCATCGAGAGCGGGCAGGAAGAGTTAGTGTTTAACACTGAACCATACTACAGGCAGGGTCCTCTAGTCGAAATTGATCACCAGCTACCGGCAACTTGAACTGCCTACCTCAGTATGCATCAGGAGATCCGAGACCCACAAGTGCATCATCAACTGCAGCAGGATCTGATGGAGCACCTATGAAGGATTAAGGAAGACGCCTAGCTCAACGTGTGATGAGTTTTTATTTGTTGAACTATATAATTTGTATTGAACTATTTGTTGTTCAATTATTTGATTTTCTATGATAAATTATGTGATAAAAAATTATTTATGTTGAAAATTTAACGGCAAACCACACCAAATATAGGCCATTTCTCATCGATATCAGGCCATTTTTCTATTTATCTAGACCGAAAAGCGGCCCATTCTATCGGCGACTGGGGCGACAGCTCAATACCCAACCATCCCAACACCGATTCTACCGCTGGCTCGTCCTGAGACGACGATTTTTATGCCTTTTAGGAGGGCAAACGGCTGGAGATGCTCTTACTCTCGGAGGTGACAGAATGTGAATTGGAAGTTGCTTGTTTTTCAGCATCTCATTCGGCAAGATTCGCATTTGAGGACAGTTCCGTCACTCCCCAGCCTAGCAGCAGCAGCAATATTTAATTGGCAGAGCTACAATGTCAAACGCCATTGCCCACCCACCGAGCCCCACCGCACCCATCATCCTGTATCAATGCGTGCGGGGCAGCAGCGGCAGCAGCCATGTCGCAGCCACCATCACGCACACCCACCCACAAATTGTGGGTCGCGGCTTTCTCTCTCTAGAGGACAGGCTGCCGGGAAATAAAGAAGAGATCCCAGCCATCCATGGAGAATTGGAGAGGTGGAGAGGGGAGAGAGACAAAGCCGGCGTCCATGTCCTGACGTCCACCCACGCCCCCCAATACCTGCTTTTTCCCAGGGCTGGATGGATGTGTGGCCAACTGGCCATGACATTTCTAGAGGGAGAAACACGGCAAGGGGAGGAGGTACGGGGCCGGTCTGCATCGTCACATTCACCCTCCCCTTTTCTTTGTCTCCCTCCCCCAGCCCAGTCGCTCGCTCTAGTAGCCTCCTCGCCACCAATGACACGAGAGACGACCGACTGGTTCGCTCCTCGTGGAGGCCGGGCGGCAAGCGAGCGAGGGAAAGGAGAGACAGCGCCCCACTACTCCCGTCCACTCCATATGCCATTACCACCCACCACCTCCCCCTCTACCACCGCCCACTAGAGCCGAGCCGAGTCTGCCTAGAGAGAGAAACAACGGGAGAGAGAAAAGAGTTGTTGCCTTGTTGGTGTTCATTGCGTGCGCGCCGGCCTCCTCGCCTTCCCTCCCTGTTCTCATCCATCCTCGGTCACCACTCACCATGGGCCCTTTTGGGTTTTCGGCACCACCATCTCACTCATGGGTCAGAGCAGTCCCCTCCGCTCCCTCCCTTCACACGGCGCGGGAAGAGAGAGAGAGAGAGAGAGAGAGAGAGAGAGAGAGGGCGGACGGAGCAGGCGCAAGAAACTTCCACCCACACCTCCCCTGCTTCCCCTTCCAACCTTTATTAGTATTATCTCCTTCCTTCCCCCCTCCCTCCCTCGGTCCCGTCCCCTCTCGCTTTCTCCTCCGTCTCTCCACGATCCGCCGGGCTTCTTCTTGTTCCCAACCGCGGTGAGGTGAGGCGGCGATGAAGAGGGCTCACAAGGTGGTCCTGGCCCAGCCGGCGGCGGCTGCTGCGATGACGCCTCGGCCGCTGCCTCGCGCGCCCCGGCCCGTCCGCGGCGACGGGGGCGAGGCGTTCAGGGCGAGCCAGAGGTACCAGAGCCTCCTCCAGGACTACAAGGAGCTCCTCAAGGTGGGCGCGCCGGCTTCTTTTACTGTTTCTTTGATTTTGATCCCCGATCTGATCTCAGGTTTGGGGGTTTCTTGTGTTCGATGTCAATCTTGTTTTCTTGTTCTTCGCCTTGTGTTTGATCTGATCTTTGTGGTTTTACTGTTCCCCCTTTTCCCCAGGAGTTATTCTGCCTTTTGTTTCTTGGGGTGTTTCTTTTGGATCTGGTGTTCTTAGGGTTAAACTCAACCTTCGGGGTTAAATTCGAGGTTCCAAGTTTGATCTTTTCGCCTCATCAGAGCATATGTTCAAGATTTGATTGAGGCGTACTAGTCCATTTTATACTCCATTCATGATCCTTTTAGCAAAGGATCGTGCATTACTTGGCCTGAGCGGATTTCCAGCAAATTGCCTTCTTGATTTGTTAATCTGTTGGGGTTATCATGTGCCAACAACACTCAGGCCGTTGGTGTCTGATAATTTGCTTTTGTTGACTTCATCAGGAAACTGCAGCAAAGAAGAACAGATTGCATTTGGAGAAGCTGAAAAAGCAAAGGCTTTCGGCTGAAGTCAAGTAATCACCAAATGCTCAACTCTTCGTTATATTATCTGATTGCCAATCAATGCGCTCTGATGATAAACACCATTTTTCATTTGAACCCTATGACATTGCAGGTTTTTGCGGAGAAGGTACACATCGATGTCCGAAAATCCATCTCAGACTGCTGTTTATAGATTGAAGAACCCGGCAATGGCGCCTACTTCCCGGACAGCCGTGTGGGTTGATCACCACCGGTCCGTTCAGGCTGTTGGGAGTTCAAGCAAAGGTCATCAGCCCGCACAGCAGCAAAGGCAGCATCCGGTTCCACGGGCGTCTCCGGTTATCGACCTCAACGAGGCTTGTGAGCTGGTAATGGCTTTGGAAATCTTAGCTTTGGTAGTGACATTGCTGTTTCATCTGATCTCATCTCATCTGAATGGGTTTTGCTCTTTCAGAGTTCCTCTGAGGAGACCGAAGAATTTCATGGTTACCAGGAGACTGCTAGGGCAGACAAGGTGAACAAGTACATGTTAGAGGGCAATGTTGTCGCCGGTCCTAGTGACTCGAAAATGTCGGCGTTCTGGGATGCTCGGAACCCTGCGGCGGCGCGAGCTGGGAAGAGGAAGATCTCATGGCAGGATCAGTTGGCTCTTAGAGTATAGGTTGCTAGATTACAATGTCAAGTGTGGTTTTAGCATGAGTTATGTGCCTCATCTCTGGTCCTCGAGCTGTAAAAGAATCCTTCCTTCGAGTCATCAGTGGATGTGTAGTTGCTTCCTGGTGCATCATCAGTGGATGTGGATAAAATGAACCATATGGAAGTTCGATCTGAAAAAGAAGATGACACAGTTGATGAAATTTTGTCGTTCTACCTGGGCATAATCTGGATGTGTCTTGCGGTAGTCGTCTGGTAGAAAGGTCTCATTAATTTCATATAAATCAAGCTCATTTCCAGCGAAGAAGGGAGGATAAAATTCAGGATTCTCATCAAGATCTCAACGGCGACCTTGCTTTCTTTTTCTGAACTGAAAACTGTAGGCAGGCTCCTATAGTTATTTTCTACATGATGCGTGCTAGTTGTAACATTGTTTGCAATGTTAACTTTAGATACCAGTAGTAGTAAGTAAACAAATATATTTGGTAACCTGGAAATGAGAAAATAATGTGAAGTAAACAAGCTGTTGCTTGCAAGCACTGACTTCAATGTTAGAGCAAGTACAATAGCAGGCTTATAGCCCGCTTACATGACAATTTTGCTTATATGAAAGAGGGACGTGAAAAAGTAAGGGAAGTGGACTCTTGCATAGACTTGTAGCCCGCTTACATGACAATTTTGCTTATGTGGAAGAGAGACATGAAAAAAGGTAGTGGGACTGGTGAACGATGTCGGATGGTTGCAGGAGGGTGACGCCAATACCAAGTTATTCCACTTGGTGGCGAATGGGAGGAAAGCAAAAAACTTCATACCCACGATCTCAGTGGATGGTCGCACTATAACAGACTAGGCTGGGAAGGAGGAGGCGTTCTTCGAAGCTTATAGCGAGTTGCTTGGCACCTGTGTGCTTGGCGAGCACACGCTGGACTTGGAGTTCTTGGGCATCGAGCAAGTAGATCTGGCAGACCAAGACATGGTATTTCAAGAGGAGGAAATTTGGAATGTGGTGAGGGACATGCCCTCGGATCGCGCACCGGGGCCGGATGGTTTTATTGGGATTTTCTTCCAGAAAGCTTGGACGATCGTCAAGCGGGATGTGATTGCTGCTATGCATAAGATCTTTATCAACAATGGGCGTGGATTTGGGAGGCTCAACCAGGCACTGATCACTTTGATCCCAAAAAACCCGGATGCTTGCCAGATCAATGAGTTTAGGCCAATATGTTTACTTCATAGCATCCTGAAGATGGCCTCGAAGCTATTGGCAATGCGGTTGCGGCCGCGTATGAGTGAGTTGGTCCAAGTGAACCAATCGGCCTTCATCAAGGGAAGGAATATTCATAATAACTTCTTGCTTGTGAGACAACTAGCAAGGAAACTTCACAAAAGGAGGACGCAGGGAGTTATGCTCAAGTTGGATATCTCGCGCGCGTTTGACTCCTTGTCGTGGCCTTTTCTTTTCGAGGTGCTACGGGCAAAGGGCTTTTCGAGCACTTGGAGATCTTGGATTTTGATCCTCCTCTGGACTGCCAGCTCACGAGTGGTGGTAAATGGATGCGCAGGCAGGAAGTTCATGCATGCTTGTTGTTTAAGGCAGGGGGACTCCATTTCCCCGCTCCTGTTTGTCATTGCGATGGATGTGCTCACGTCCCTTGTGATCAAGGCACAGGGATTGAATGTGGTTAGCAAGATGCCAGGTTGCACGCCAATGCAAAGACTCTCGTTGTATGCTGATGATGTGATCATGTTTATTCGGCCTTGGAGATCGGACCTTTGGTTCGTCCAGGATGCACTCTCGATCTTTGGTGAAGCATCGGGTCTCAGGGTCAACTTCACTAAATCCTCGGCTGTTTTGATCCCATCTGACGAAGAGGACGAGGAGCGGGTGCGTCAGGCGTTGCCTTGCCAGATGGAGAAGTTTCCCATCAAGTATCTAGGGCTCAAGTTGGGGCTCAAGCAACTCACGAGATCGGACTGGCAGCCCATTGTGGACAACGTGTTGAAGCTAATGACAGGATGGCAACGCGGCATGGTGACTAGGCGGGGGCGCCTGATCCTTGTTAATCAGGTGGTGCGCGTGCGGCCCACGCACCATCTGATCGTGGCTGAGGCCCCCAAGTGGGCGCTGGAGAAGATCGATAAGGGCTGCCGCACGTTCTTTTGGGCTGGGACTGAGGAGATCCAAGGAGGCAAGTGCGCGGTTGCTTGGAAAAGGGTGTGCCACCCCAAAGAGTTGGGAGGCCTTGGAGTCATGGATCTTTACAAACAAGGACTGGTGCTCAGACTAAGATGGGAGTGGTTGAAGCAGACAGATAATGGTCGACCTTGGCAAGGTTTGAACCTCAACTCAGGCAAAGATGTGACTAAGGCATTCGACAACTTGGTAAAATGGAATGTTGGCAAGGGTTCGCAAGTGTTGTTCTGGAGGGATTGTTGGATCAATGGTTCTAACATCAGCGAGATCGCGCCACTCCTCATTCGCAAGGTCAGGAAGCAAGTGGTTAATAGGAGAAAGGTCAATGAAGCTCTTCTCTTCCATGCTTGGACCCAGGATATTAGGGGTGACATGAACACGGAGGAGCTGCTCCAGCTCTTAAGAATGTGGGAGATAATGCTCCAAATGGAGCTAAGGCCAAACATGGAGGACGTCCCAATCTGGCAGTGGGAGGCTAGTGGCACTTATTCGGCAAATTCTACCTACAAGATGATGTGTCATGGAGGTGTTCGGTTTCAATGTGCGTCGACAGTTTGGCGATGTTGGGCTAAGCTAACGTGTAAGATCTTCATGTGGCTAGCACTTCAACACAGGATTTGGACATCTGACCGTAGGCACATGCATGGATTGCAAGAGCATAGTCACCCTGCTTCCTGTGTGAGCAGGAGGAGGACACGGTCGAGCACCTTCTCGTGCAATGTGTGTATGCCAGGAAAGTATGGTTTCTCAGTTTCAGGAAACTTGGCATCGACACTGAGCTCACACCTACCAGGGACCATACACTGGGTGATTGGTGGATGGCCTCCAGGAAGCGCATCAACAAGAGGGATCGCAAAGGTTTTGATACCCTATGCACGTCGGCATGTTGGAACATTTGGAAACAGAGGAACGGCAGAGTTTTTCGCAACAACACCACGGCCTCGGAAGTGGAAGTAGCCGAGGCAGTTCACAAGGAATTTCTTCTGCGGGCAGCCGTGCGAGGAAGAGGAGAACCCAATATCATAGAGTAGTTGCTTTGTGTGTGTGGAGTGGATGTCGTGGTGACAGCCGCCTGTGGCTGGGCACCGGAATATAACCTCTTGTAATTATTTCTCTATCTTCTATAAAGCTAAGGTACGCATTTTGCGTACTCTCGAAAAAGAAAAAGGGTAGTGGGCCCTCATGCAAGAGCCTAGGTATACGCGTGCTCTCAATCAATGTGAAGAAATAGATGGAGAGAAGACGAGAAAAGTACTAATCTTATAGTCAACCTTATAGATAATCTTATTATATGAGTAACTATAAATGATATGACAACATCATATAGCCATTAGTTGGCTGTTTATTAATCATGCTCTTAGTAAACAAATAAATTTATTAAAGTATCTTACATAACGCGTGATATCGTAGGCTCTAGGGCATCTTGAAAGCGGACCCTTATATCGTGTGCAAATGTCTATGTTCAGACCGCGAAGATTAGCAGAACTTCTAACGCTATCTCGCATCGATCCGTGGACCAACCAGAAGCAAACTAGGAGGACTTTGCGAGAGTTTGGACCGTTGTAGGACTCCAACATTTGTCCCCATCAAAAACCACACTCAGACCCTACGTCTCCATCCCTACTACTCGCTGGTGCTATGGCCCTTCTACCCTATGCACGTGTACATGTGTAAATGTGGCTTTGTCACCTTTCTTGATGTTATGTTGAGGACCCCGCTAGCCAACGAACGATCCACCAGAGGAACAACTCGAATTTTGGCTATGAGTTTGTTATCATATGTAGTAGCAACACTACAAACAGATATTATTCGACTTTCTTTTGAATGAGTGTGTATGTGGTAAATAAAGGGGACTGGTCACAAGAGCTCGAAAGAGACAATACCAAAGGTTTATAGTTCCAAAAATTAAGCCACAACGAAACTCTATGCATGATCACTTACTTGGCATAATCCCTTCATGTGACAATCAAAGTTTCAGCAAACAATGATTGACATGAAGTGCTTAAGAGCCTTGAGGATAAGATAACTGTGGGCATTTTTATGAGCACTCTAGCATCATGTTTTTCTACATGCCTTTCAGTCCCTAACTTATTTTTATGGCTCTATCGAAGAAAACTCTTCCGTGCATTTCCGACAAGCAAGTGCTGTCTAGAATAAATAGAATTGAGTGTTGCAAAGTTGTTTTATCTAGTAGATCAAAAACTTTGTGTTGATTATCTTTGCTTCACTAACACTACGCAATAACCATGCCACCGCTACAACTGCACTAAGTTTTCAGGTCAAGAAGGGGAGGGCTATCTAGGCGTACCGATCTAAGTGAACCAAAACCTTTTCGTTATTTTGGTTTAAACAAATGAGTTCCTTATGATTTGGATTTCTCTCTATGTTGCTCTAGGGCAATAAGTTTAAGCTTGGGAAAGTTGACGAGTGATATTTCTACATCATCCACCCTTAGTTTAAATCGAGATTTATTATTTCATTAAAACTGAGATATTCGATCCGATATTGCTAGTAATGACTAACGAATGCAAAAGATTCCACAAATCCTCTCTTTGATATGTTTCCATAGGAAATGGGCTAAAAAGGGAAGAAATCACGTGTGAACAAGGAAATGAATGGAAATGAAGAAAGAAGGAATCACCAGGAGGCACACTAGAAGAAACAACACAAAAGACGACGTTCCATACGACCGCGAGCACCCGTATGAGCGGTCATATGGCATGAATTCTGAGGCAGCTTGTCCACATGAACAATTTACATAAAGGGGACCCCATCAAAATGTCAACAGAGATGCGTCGAACGAAGCCAGAACA